TCCTGGTTTACAAGACAATACATGAACTTGAGCATGGACGACATGGTTAATGGCACCTTCCGCCCAATCTTCGTGAGCATTCGACGCAGTACATAGCAGCAGGGTAATGAATGTAAAAGCCCCAGTGCCGGAGCAAATATGTCATATAAATATCCATGTCCTATACCCCGTTCGTCGGACGAAAATCCGTCTAAAATCGATGTGCCATCATCCGTCGGAAGCATCATAGTGTCGCCATATCTTCCTAGCGCCGATGGGACAGCAATGAGTCTTCCATAAATCGTTAGCAAAATATTATAATAAAGGGTTCCCAGAGTCCACGTCCTGCATTCCAAAGGAACAGGTGATGCACGACCTAGATCTTCCTCATCAATGAGCCAGTGCCTTCCTGAAGGGTGAGGAAATCTTCACCGTGAAAAAACTTTCCGACTAGGCAAAGCGAACCCAGATCGTGACCTATAAACATCCTAAGACCCCTAAAAGTTATTTGAAAAAACGAAACCCAAGCAGAGCATCTGTTAGAAGGTAGAACCGCCTTAAGGAGCTCGCACGAGGGAATGTTTTTTTCAACCAGGCTACGGACGAAGGGAAATACTGAAAATTAGAGAACTGAAATCAGAAATGAGGGAGAAAATTGGCGGAGAAGAGAAAGGGCTGAAAATTAAAAGTGGACAAATAGTCCAGACCAAGGAGTCTTTCCTGTGGTGAAACCTGTCACAGTGAAGGCCGGGCCTCTCCAGCGAAACAATCAGTGGAGGTTATTTCCGCAAATGTACAAAAGCCTGTTCAAGAAACTGGACGGACTAAGAGACATAGTTGATGGAAGTAAGCCAGACATTATGGCTTCCACAGAAACGTGACTTACTGAAGATATGGCAGATTCAGAAGTATCACTTGGAGGATATCATCAGTTCAGGAGAGACAGACTAAGGCGAGGAGGAGTCATCATTCATGTCATATGCAATCTGCCCGCTATGGCTGGTGCACATAGTCTGGTACGGGATGTGGAACTATTAAGCATTACCGTACCTGCTTGGAATGTCCAACTACTGACGCTTTCGGTGGTGTACAATTCACCTAACCAGACTTCTTACCAAGATCTCATGCTAATAACTGAACTGTATAAATCCAGGGTGAAGGAAGATGTCCTAATCGTTGGGGATTTCAACGCACCTGGCATTGATTGACTAACGCGGAACGCTCAAGAACCACAATACAAATTAAGTCACTAACTTCTATAACGGGTAACGGACAAACTTCTCTACCAGAACGTTACCTCTGGACTGCGGGCTAGGGAAGGACAGCAGTCGAACTGCCTTGATATTATTTTTACCCGAAAGAAGAAAAATGTGCTAGACCTGTAGGACCGACCGCCATTAGGGTCAACCGACCGCATCACACTCAACTTCGAGTACTCACTGTTTTCCAAACCCGTTCTGCCCAATAGGTGGGAGAGAAACGTTTGGAAGAGGGACTATTCTCTCATGAGGAGAGAATCGCCAGCTGTACCATGAGGGACTGAACCGTATGGCAGAAAAAACGACAATTGGAAGACGTTCAGTTCCTTAATAAGATAAATTGTTTAGTTCGATTGTCCTCTCTGGAGAAGGAAAATCAGAAACCGCTCAAAGTGGGAAAACTCGGACTTAAAGACCACTTTCAAAAATGGAATTGCCTGTGTAGGCGTTACAGACTAAACGGCTCAAGAGAACACTTACGGGAATATAAGCAGTAACACAACGTTTGTAAAAGTGAGGCTTCCTAGCTGCGAAATATGTTCGAACTGAACATACTGCAAAATTTGTTGGAGCATCCGAAAATTCTATATGGCCTATATATGGAGTGCTTAAAGGACTCAGGAGCTGATCCCTGCCCTTAGGTCTGCAGATGGAAAAGTGAGGACTGATAATCAGGTTAAAGCGTCCCTCCCTTCCGACTTCTTTCAGTTCGTCTTCACCCGAGAACCTAGTTCCATATTTGGCCATCCATCCGTTTGCCAACCAACGTCTCCTAGTCCCCTTCCCCTCTTACCCCCTCCCTACCCTCCTTAATCGAGGAACCACTCTTTTCATCGATCATAGTTAGGGCCGAACTACTCCGACTGAAACCTGCCAAATAGCCTGACCCAGATAAAATTCCCGCAGTAGGGCTTCGTGAACTTGCTAATGAACTGTGCAAACCATTGTCTGCATTACCAAAAGAAATTGAATGCAATACCTGGAAAAAACAAAATATTGCGTGATACCCAACATGGCTTTCGTCCAGGGTGATCCTGCCTGACAAGTGTTCGTTGCTCGCACGAGAAATGGACACGAGCTACCGATAAGGGTTTTACAGTGGATGTCATATTTTTTGACTTCAAGAAGGCCTTTGACAGTGTCCCACACAAGCTTCTTTTACAGAAGATCTGGGATGTAGGAGTTCAAGGTAGAATGTTCAAAGGAATCAGGAGTTTTCTGTCCTCCAGAGTAAAAACAGTCGTCTTTGGTAACTCGATCTCTGAATGGAGAAAGGTGAAAAGTGGTGTCCCACGGGCTTTGTTTTAGGCCCAGTACTCTTCCTGATTACTGTTAATGACTGCATCAGCGGAATGGATTGTGAGGCCCACATGTTCGCGGATGACATAAAAATATGGACTGAAGTCAAGCGCGATGATGACGCAAAGAATTTGCAGTCGGACATCGACAAACTGTGTGTTTGGTCGAACAGATGGCTTTTGAAGTTTAACATGTCCAAATGCGTGGTCTTGCACCTGAACACCGGCCGCAATGCCTCTCCCAAACACCAGTACTATATTGACGGGACGGCGTTAGAAACTGTGGAAAGACACATAGATCTTGGTGTACGGACGACCACAAATCTAATGCCGTCAGAACACTATAGAAAGATGGTCCAGAAGGCAACTAGTACTCTACACTGGATCAGACTTACGTTTAAAATATTTCCACCCGAACTCTTCAAAACACTTTATGGTATCTTTGTAAGACCCCCTCTAGTGTATGGAATGCCAACAGCTCCACCATGGATGAGGAAGGATGTTGACTTATTCAAACAGGTGCAACGCACAGCAAAGAAGATGATAGATGGTCTAAGGCATTTGTCTTACTAGAAGAGGCTGAATATTCGTGGCCCGTTTTCCCTCTCCTATAGGCATCGAAACTCCAGTCTACTTTAAACATTTCGTATTTTCCGGGGCCAAGGTTTTTCACTAGGAACGGAGAACTTTTTTGGGCTAACCAGTACAAACCCATTACGCGCTCATCCTTACAGAGTCAGAAGTGAACGCACACGGATAGACCGTGGGAGGTTTCCCTTCAGTCAGTGGGTTGTCAGGCCATGGAACTCGCTAATAAGCAAGATCGTGACGGCCGCCATTATTCGCATGTTTAAAAGAGGACTTGCTTGCATGATTTTCAATATCGCACTCACAACCAGCTCTGTAAAACATTCTGTCACACACTATCTTTCCGCAGTGACTTGTAATGAACAGTTGCGCTTCTTATCGTTACGATTGTAGTGTGATCCGACCACATTGTAAATGTTTGCAACATTATATAGAGTGCAAATCTGCCAAAGCATTGTACATAAATAGGGTCATCAAAGGTTCTGCCTCTAACCCTTCAAATATATACATACATACAGGAACATCCAGGTCAAGCTTTGTCCCCTAATTTTTCGTGCAAGTGTAGTAGAAAAATGAAATGATCTACCTCAATCAGTTGTCTACAGTTCGACCGTCGGTTTCGATGATGTCCACCGTGTGTTCCGCACCAGGGTGAGACAGGGACGGTGAATTGCGCGGGCTTTATAGTGAGAGTAGACTTGCGCTACAATTACCACACTCTCTCCTCCTCCCCCACCTGGACCCAGTGTGAAAACAGAGTCAAGATGACCGCAGACTGCGGAGGGCGCAGGTGGATAGCACGATCGAGTCCGCACCATAACGTTCCACCCCTCATCCCCTGGTGCACACAGCAAATAACCAGGTTTTTGACCAACAACGACAAAGATAATGGGGACTGGCACGGCCGAAGCTGAACCTTGGCGTGCTGCCAACGCCTGTTTCGGATCCCAAACAATGGGAGTGCCATAAAGACCACATTAAGAAGGAAATATTTCAGCCTAACTCTCAGACCTCCAGTTCAGGAGGTCCAAGTTATCCTGTCATTTGGCAACCTCCCAAGCCACGGCTTCAAGCGCACCGTGATAGCTTCAAGCGAGTCTGATTGTTTATAGTGAGAAGAAAGTGCGCTAAGACGTCGACCTCACTCTTCCTTCCTATTCCCACACCCCAGCCGCTGTCCGAGCCGGTCAGCAGACTGGAGAGGGGCATGGGCGCAGTGGCTGGCATGGTCGAGTGACCATGTCTGCGTGCGCCACGTGCACGTGCACGTGCACGACCTGGCCCCCCAGACGTACATACACCAGAATTTCACTCAACGAGGGTTGAACGGCGGAGCTCTCACTTGCGTGAGAGGGCCATGAAAGGTGCTGTTTAAGCCCGTCTCCCAGCCCATCCGTCCGCCACTCCACACAATACACAGACAACGGGACGGACTGCGTGGACAGAGTGGGGGCGTAAATGAGCAGCCTTCCTATCCACAATGCTTGACGTGTCGGGATACTCTCAGACTCAAGTCGCCCGTGCAGCCGAAGCCGCATGGGGACCGAGCCGAGATGCACGCTTCCCACTTGCGTGGTAGGCGGCAGTTGGGTGCTTGTGGTGGGTGATTGTTGATGTGTGGTGGTGGTGGTGGTGGAGGAGGAGGAGGAGGAGGAGGAGGAAGGGAGGAAGCGTTTGATGGTGTGGTGCAGCCGGCGGTTGTCTACCGCAGGTCTTCGTGCATGCGCATGTGGCCGAATAGGTCCACGCGATGCGTGAAAGTGCGAGGGCAACGTGGGCAGTGGAGGCGAGTGCGGAGGGTGTAGGTTGGTGCTCCAGGCACTGGTTCGCCAGCCTCTGTGCAATGGATTCGCAAGCGACCGACCAGGCCGATGTGTCAGGTGAAGGTGCGGTCGCAGTGAGGGCAGGTGTAGTCCTGGTCATCACCTCGGGAGTCGGGGGTTGGAGGAATGGTGTCTGTTGTAGTGTGAGGCATGTGTGTGGTGTTGATTTGCGTGACAGCCGCCAGAGCGGCCGTCGTGGGGGCAGTGGAGGAGGACGAACCGGAGGAGGAGGATGAGTAGGAAGAGAGGGAGGAAAATGAGGAGAAGGAGGAGGGGGAGGAGGAGGATGAGCAAGAGGAGGAGGAGGATGAAAGTGGTAGTTCAGAAGAGTAGTTAGAGTTAGTCGGCGGCGGAGAGGACGAGGAAGAGGCGGGCGGAGGGACAACGTTTGGTGCTGTCCGAGAGGTGCAGTTGATCCAAAGGTGTCCAATAAGTTTAATTCGTGCCGGGAATGTTCTTTGGCACCTAGGACACGTTGAAAGCGGTTGTGCGTCGGCGTTGCGGAATGGGCGTTGCTGTGATTTGCGTGCTCCGCGTTTTACTTTGGCGGCGGCGATGCGGTTGGCTTCATAGATCGCAGCACCTGTCTTCACTGTCCTCCTCCAGGTCGGTCGATCGTGTGCGAGGTCTTCCCAGTTGGTCGGGTTAATTTGCAGACGCTTCAGGGTGGACTTCAGAGTATCCTTGTATCGGCGAATTTGGCCTCCTTGGCGGCGAGAACCCGTGACGACGTCTCCGTAGAAGAGTCGTTTGGGTAGTCGCTCGTCGTCCATGCGCACCAGGTGGCCGCTCCAACGCAGCTGCATTTGCCTCAGTATGGTGCAGATGCTGAGGATTCCCGTCCATTCCATTAAATCATTGTCGGGTATTCGATCCTGCCAGGTCAGCCTCAGGATGCGACGCAGACAACGGGGCTGAAAGTGGTTCCGTCGGCGTGCCTGCTTTGTGTACACTGTCCAAGTCTCCGCTCCATACAGCAGCGTCGGCAAGATGACTGTCTTGTACATCTTCAGCTTCGTGCTCAGTTGGAGACCACAAATGGACGCTAGGCGTAGTCTCACCTGCAAGCAAGTGAGCGACCACTACGACCATCACTTGAACCCACCGCTGGACACCCCTACACCCCCCCACACATATATATATATATAAACACACACAACTGGACAGACTGCGTGGGCTGAGTTGGGGCGTCAATCAGCAGTCGGCAAATCCGCGGCGCTTGATGCGTCCGGATAGTTTCAGGCCGGGTCACCCATGCGATAGCGGCCGTACAGAGACCGGGTTGAGACGCGCACTTCCCACTTGCGTGGAAGGCAGCAGTTTGGTGCTTGCGGTGGGCGATGATGATGTGTAATGGGATGCTGGTGAGGAAGAATGTCGTGGTAAGGTGCAGCCGACGGCTGTCTATCGCAGGTTTTCGTGAATGCGCATGCGGCCTAATAGGCCCATGCGATGCGTGAAAGTGCGAGGGCAGTGTGGGTAGTGGAGGCGAGTGCGGTGGGTGTAGATGGGTGCTCCAGGCACTGGTTCGCCAGTCTCTGTGCGATGAATTCGCAAGTGACCGACCAGGTCGATGTGTCAGATGAAGGTGCGGTCGCAGTGAGAAAAGGTCCATGCTCCTTTGTATGTCTTCATCCGAGGTGGTGTTGATGGCGCAGTCGTCGGCGAAGGGAAGTCCGTGCACAGTGGTTGTGGATACGTGCAACTGGAAGTGCATCCGCCGTTGATTGAGGAGGTGATAGTCCGTCCTGTAGGCGATGCGGATCCTGGGGCGTTCGTCACGGTAGGCGCACATCAGCGTGGCAGAGAACATAAGGCCGAAGAGGGTGGACACCAGGACGCACCCCTGTTTCACTACGCTGGTCACCGCGAATGCTCCGTTTTCCGTGATGCGCGCCATCATGCCGCCGTGGGGCTGACGCGTCTTCTGGGTGCATCGCTCGAGACAGTCGGATTTCTGCATGATCTTCCTCAGTCCTTCAAGATTCACCGTGACGAAGGCTTTTGTCATATTAACGAGGGTAGAGTACATGCGAGTCCGCATCTCCTGGCACTTATCTTGAAGTTGACGGGCGGCGAATACCATGTCTATGGTCCCGCGATGGCGGCAGAGGCCGCACTGTCTTTCCGGAAGAAGACCCTGTTCTAGGCGATTATTGAGGAGGTTGAGGAGGATGCGCGCAAAGATTTTCCCAGCGATATTCAGCAAGAAAATGCCCCGATGATTTCGCAGGTTTGATGGTTTCCTTTTCGCTTGTACAGATGCATGAATGTGGCTTCTTTGAAATCCTGCGGGACTTCGCCTTGACGTCACATCCCCTGGAAGACAGCAGTCAGATGATCCGTGAGCTGGAGGCCGCCGTGCTTGTAAACCTCGGGAGGGATGGCGTCAGATCCGAGTGTTTTACCGCTGGAGGGCTGCCGCACGGCCCTGATTGTTTCACGGAGAGAGGGCGGGAGGTTGAGGTCCACGTTGGTGTCCACTTGAGGCAGAGGGGCTATGGTGGCGTCGGAGATGGTGGAGGGACGGTTGAGGACGCCTTGGAAGTGCTCGGCCCATCGCCGTAGAATTTGTTTCTTCTCAACGAGGAGGGTACTGCCATCTGCACTGAGGAGAGGAGCAGTACGTTTGGTCGGCGGACCGTAGACAGCTTTGATTGCGAAGAAGTTCTTTCACTCGTTGCGGTCCGCGTATCCTTGGATCTCCTCAGCCTTGCTAGCCGTCCAGGCGTCCCACATCTCGCGCAGTCGCCCTTGAACGAGACGACGACTACGGTAGAAAGCAGCTCTGTTATCGTCCGTGGGGTGGTTGACGTAAGCTTTACGCAGTCGGTTCTCCTCGGCGAGCAGGTTGCTGATGGTGGCGTCGTCGTCGAACGAGTCTTGGCGTTAATGGCGTGCGCGACCGAGGACGGCTGGCGCCGTCGACTGGACTGCGTCCTGCAGTTGGCACCATCGGTCCTCCACGGAGGCATTCCCGCCAGCGGCGACGGCAGCGACTGGGAGATTGTCCAGCCGTTGAGCTAGTTCATTGCTGAAATGAACATGGTGAGCAGGCGAAGACAACAAGGTAATATGCAGCCTACCTGGGGATCGCTTTCCTTGTGATCTCCTGCGAGGCTGTAGGCAAATACGCATCTTCGAGATGATGAGGCGATGGTCTGTCCAACAGTCAGTCCCCGGGATCGCCTTCGTCACCAGCACGCCCCGCTGGTCTCGCCTCTGGAAGACGACATAGTTCAGCAGGCATCGCTGACGCGACCGAGGATACATCCAGGTGGCCTTCTTTCGTTCCGGCAGGCAGAAGAAGGTGTTCGTTAGGATGCGTCAGTGTTCTGCTTGGGTGCGGCGAAGGAGCAGGTCATTGTCATTTGAGCCGTTGAAACCGTGGAGACCTAGCACTCTCTCCAGGCAGCACGATCTATGCTGACATGGACGTTGAAGTCACCGAGGACAGTCAACTTATCGCAGATAAAGGTCTCTGATAAATGTATCTGATGATGGATTCGACTGAGAATCCGAAACGTCAGGCCAATAAATTTCTTGTCCCAGTGATCGCATCTTCGTCTTCTCAACTTATCGGCCCTTGACACAGTCGCCAGGAGGGCGTGTAGGTCCTAGTGGAATTTGTCTCCTGCGGCGTCAGGGCTGGTCATCGGCGGAACGTCGACGCTGATGATGGTGGCGAATTTGTCCCCTCCCCTCCGAACAGGCAGATGGAGGCTCATCAGACGGTCGTTGATGCCCTGCGATAGACAGGACAGCCGCCCCACCATGTCGTTCCGGATGGCAAAGGCAACACCCACGCCCCGTCGCCCTGTCCTGGAGTGACCTCTCCAGAAGAAGGTGTTGCCGGCGCCCACCTCCTCCAGTTGGCCTTGTTTGGAAAATCGGGTCTCGTTGAGTGCAGCGATGTCCACCTTGTAGCGCGCCGATTTCCGGGCCATTGGCGCCGTCCTCTGCTCCTGTCGGTTGCTTCTCGGATTGTCTGAGAGGGATCGAACATTCCAGGCTGCCAGAGTGAGCAAACTCACCCCGACAATCTGGCGGTTTGAGCGGAGGGGAGAAAAAGAAGAAGAATAGACAGGAAGAGGAAGAGAGCGAATGTTGTTGTTGTTGTTTCGATTTTGATTGTTTCGGCCGTGAGTTTGACGGCTGCGACCACGGTCAGCCTGCAGAAGACGTGGTTCCTCAGCAATCTTTAGGGCACATTTTCTACTCCCTTCCCTTGCGGACAGCAGCGCCTCCCCCAAATGGGGCTTCTCGGTAGTGCCAGGCGCTGCCGCACTCCACTATGGGTCACGTCTTTTATGTAGTCGAAGAACGGCCGGAGTTAGCCTGAAGAGCTTACTACATCGCCGCAAACTCGTAGCCTACTGCGGTGCATCAGACAAAGCCGCGTCTCGACGATGCCGATGGGAAGTTCTATCGGACCGGCTGGCCAGCGGCGTACCAGACGTAGCCTCGTCTAGACGGTGCCGATGCGGAGTTCAATCCGACCAACCGCCCAGCGAAGTCCATAATACCGTGCGCGCAGAGCGCACACGGATATCCTCATCTGATTTAGCCCGCTGGTCGAGGTGGTTACCGGGGTGTGGCCGCTGGGCAGAGCCCAACTTCGGAGAGTCACATGTAAGAGATGGGGGTCGGCAACTGAACGCTAGGCGTAATCTGCACAGAATCTAAACAGAGGCTTAGAATAATCTATGCCGAATCTGCGCCAAGGTTGTCACTCATTTCTAGTCAGAATTTGTGCCAAGGCTCGGCACAGAATCATCATCGAATATTCTAATCTTGCATCTTAACCGAGCAGAACCCTCCTCACCTTTTCTCAACAACCATCTCTACTGTCGTTTCCCCTTCTTTTCATGCCCACATTGCAAATCTAATTTCTCGTTAACAATAGGACTATAGGCGACGAAAGGTGGTGTTGGTTGTTAAATTTTTTAAAAAATATTACAAAGGCTACAGGGATATAGCATGAATGTGCAAAATGAGGTACAAAGGAGACTCTCGTAAGAAAGTCAAATCGTGTCCAATAATATATGCATGCGGGCCCTTCTACGGCTGTGATGAGAGGCCGGGCGGTCCACGGGGAGGATTACTGTTAACTTCGTCTGCCTAGTCTAAAAGTAAGTAGAATGGCAGCCAAATTCGTAGTAATTTCTGAAAGTGCAATCGATTTAAGTTGTGTCACAGAAATATAAATTGCAATAGGTCTGAGTATGAGGGGGTAACTAACCGTCCACAAGAAATGATGCGGATTACTTGTTCCCGCGTTTTGTATGCGGTCGTACGCATTCTGGAATGCAACTGGGAACATCTTCTCTAGTTTTTGGCGATCCGAATTGTGATCACTATTCCACCTGGCAAGGATATCTATTTCGGCATGTTGTAATTGAAACAAATTACGCCTGTCTTACTTAAGACCAATGCGTACGCTGTGCAGCCATTGAAGGCACGATGCCCTGTTGTCGGCCGTAGAACGTCAAGTGATGGTCTATTTCATTAGCGAATAGGACGCTGAACAAGCGGTCTACGAAGGCGCTAGCGTCCTCTCCGCCAAAACTAGACAAATGAGAAATTTATTGAACAAATCTGAAGGTCATAGGAAACTTAACACCCACTGCCAAAAGGCAGCATCAGACAGAGCATTGTTAATTCCTGAGCACGTCCAATTCCTGTAGCGTGGCTATGCGCATATAGATGGGCTCCGCCAGAAAGGAACTGGCGCCGACGTTGAGCAAGTAGCCCTCCCTTCTGACTGTGGGTCCAGCTCTAAAGCAATCTCATGCAACCTTGTGTTCTCTTTGCTGTTTTCTTCGTGTGCGACGACACACGTCTTCGTCGTCGAGAGGTATATATGAGCGTACTACCCACGCTAGGAGAACATCTCTTACGCTGAGCCCCTGTACAGGAGCTTCAGTTGACCGGGTCCCTGTAACTGCGTCAAGTCCCGTGTTCACTGGCATATGGAAGAAACGCGTTTCATCGTCAGAAGAGGAAGATTCGGTTAGACTGGATGAGCTATAGGACGACAAAATACCAGTAAGAATGATGCTAAGTCGGACGGACACATTTCC